AGGCAGTTAAGGAGTGCCCTGCGATCGTCTCTGGGTAGTGCCTTGTGAGTCAAGAATGGGCCTGGAGCCCTGCACTCTGGAGCAACTCACGTCTTCCTGGAGCAGCTGTACTGAAGGTGGGAGCACTTGGCCTCCATTGCATGCTGATCCCAAGAGGGACAAGAGAGTATCCTGCTTTCCTCCGAAAACGCTGTGCAAAAAGTCTTCAGGGACAAATGACTGCTGTCTATTCAAGTCGTTGTTAGTGCTAACGGTCCATTTTCTAAGAAACAAAAAGGCTACAGTGTAGGAAATTTAAACATTGGATCTGCTTTATGGGTCTTCAGGCTGGTGTTTTTCCTTCTGAGAACAGTGAGGCTGTTGCAGGCACACCTTAAATGTGAACGTGTGAAGGCAAGCATGTAAACATGCCATTTTTTAAGGCCTAAGTGTATGCTACCACCTGCACATTTTGGACTATCCCCCAAGCCAGGGAATTTGTTAGATTTGGGTAGAACTTGTTCTGAGGAATTACAGAATTTCCATTAAATAATATGCTAACTGGGAGTCCCTGAGTGGCTCAGATGGCTGAATGCTGGACTAACCAAAAGACTGGCAGTTTAAACTCACCGAGAGGCACCTGCAGGTCAGGCCTGGAGATCTGTTTCTGAAAGGTCAGCCTTGAAACCTTTATGGGGTGCGGTTCTGCTCTGCACAGAGAGGTCACCATGAGTCAGAATCAGCTTGAGGGCAACTAGCCTGCTAACTCGTGAAAGCCTGTCTCCAGGCCTGTCGGCCAGCGTGCAGCCTGTGTAGGCAGAGGTAGCCCAAGTCTGGATTTCTGGGTGCCGATGCCTCTCTAAAATTAAGCCACCCACGTGATAGAATCAGGATACAGCAGGAGCCATGACATGGCAGTCCCCATCCAATTGAGAGTCACTGTGCAGACATAGTCCGCAGGCACCTCCTTCCCCTCAGAGGGGCAAGGGAGGCCGGGAGGCCCGCCATAGCCATCTCCTTCCCAACCTTTGTCCCTTTAGTGCTTTTTGAAGCAGCAGCAACCTTAGTCATGACCTACTCCAACTCTGAGGCTTCAACTGGGAACCCCTGATGTTAAGTGGAAGGAGCCCTGGTGGCACAGTGGTTAAGCACTCAGCTGCTAACTAAAAGGTTGGCGGTTCGAACCCACTAGCTGCTCTGCGGGAGGAAGATGTGACGGTCTGCTTCCATAAAAACTGCAGCCTTAGAAACCCTGTGGGGCAGTTCCACTCTGTCTACAGGGTCACTGAGTCAGAATCAACTCAAGAGCAGCAGATTTGGTTTGATGATACCATCAATAATGTACCTGATTCTTCAGTCAGCCTTGGCCACTGAGCATCAAGCCAGCATCCTGAGGCTTTCTGTGATGACCACCTCAGCTGCCTGACTGTTAACATGGGCCCTGGCTCAGAGACCTTTTAAGTTATCCAGAACACTGTTGTCAGTTCACTCAGTAATTTGACTTCTGGCTTATAACCTTTGTGTACTCACTAATGAAAAGAGAGGAAATAAGATCTTAAAGTTTAAAGATGGCTACATAGGAGTTCCCTTAAAAAAAAAAAAAAAAAGTTGAGCCAGTTGTCACTCCTGCAGACAATTTAGCCACGAGGGGAGCCTGAGGGCCTGCAGCACAGCTTGTCTTCCGCCCCAGCCAGGCAACCTTTGGATAAGGGGCCCTTTCTGGGGTGTCTTTGTGGCAGAAGGGCAAAAGAAGTGCAGCCAAGTGACATCTGCTGTTGCTATTAACCCTGGGACAAGTGGTAGCCAGGCCCAGGCGGAACTGGTGGAAACCGGTCTCCAGAGATCTGTTTATCCTCTGGGCCTGGAAGAGCAGCATTTTGACCAGCAGCAAGCAGCTGTAGCTGGGGGAAGGGAAGAGATGGGTTTCTGCCTTCTTCCTGCCCCAGGGGCTCGCTCAATGGTGCTGCCCTGGGTCCCAGTGTGTGCTCAGGTCCATCAGGACGCCAGCGCTTGCCAGCAACGCGCTTCCACTCGAGGGGGAACGCCTGGCTGCCACTTGTCTGTACACTTCCTTCCTAGTTTTTGTTCCCAATGGCCCAGTATGTACTTTAGAGCCTTTCTTCTGCCCAGATACAATGTGTGATTATCCAGATAGTTCTCCACCTCTAGCAGCACCAGCTCCATGCACAAATAGCTTGCAAAATGCCGTCTGTAATTGGCGGGAGACTTCTGACTTCATCCTTCTCTGGCCCCTTTCAACGATTTAAACCCAACCCTTTCCTTCAGCTTTGAGAGTGATTTCAGAGACGTGGCCTGCCACCTTGTGGCAGAAATCACTACCATAGCTTTGCCGCCACACAAAAGGCAACGTGGGGGGGCGGTCAGTGGGGTGGTGTGGGGGGCGCTTGGCCAACCTTCTGACAGTATTTATCTCTCAGCCAAGCAATGTATTTTTCTGGACACACATCCCTCAATTTTTATTACTATTTCCTGGGGAAATGCTAACAGAACAAATAAACCAAACCAAACTCAGTGCCATCCAGTCGGATCCTACTCATAGTGACCCCTGCTTGAGTTTCCAAGGCAGTATCGCTACGGAGGAAGATTGCCCAGTCTTCCTTCTGAGGAGTGGGTGGTGGGTTTGAACCACCAACCTTCTGGTTAACAGTCAAGTACCTTAGGTACTACGCCACCAGAGCTCCTACAGAACAAATATTGGCCTCAAAATTGAGAATTCAAGATAGTGGTTTTCCAGTATCATTCCGCTAAAGAGCTTAACCAACACTTGCTTTGTCTGTTTCCATTTTAAAGAAAGGAAAATGTGCTTTTCCTCTCACCATCTCCCTTTCCCAGGCTAATTTACACCGACAAATATACAGAAAGAATTCACAAGACACTGTACTATGAAGTGAATGGGATATGTTTATTTTCCCTCATACACTCCCACTATGGCCATCAAGTTAATTCTGACTCATAGTGACCCTGTAAGACAAAGTAGAACTGTCGCATAGCATTTCTAAAGCTGTAATCTTTACAGAAGCAGACTGCCTCATAGTTCTCCTGCAGAGCGGCTAGTGGGTTCGAACCGCTAACCTTTTGGTTAGCAGCTAAGCACTTAACCATTCTCCCACCAAGGCTCCTTTTTGAACTCATGCTAAATGTACCTATTTCAGGGAGAGAAGCCGTGCCACAGCAAACGCTCTTCCCAGCAGCTGCCAGTACTGTCACACGCACTGAACATTTGTGTGGCGCCCTGGGCAGGTCTGGACCAGAGGACACCAACACTAGAGCAGGGACCAGGCTGGCCAGCTGAGGTAGGCACAGCCAGAGGCGCCTGTTCCTGCCAAAACTTCTCCCCTAAGACATGTCAAAGCAATCCCACCCTGCCACCTGGAGCACAAGTCACACCTGATCACTTGGTTCCTCAGAAGTAGTTTTACTGGGCCCTGATGGTTTTCCTCAGGCAAGTCGGGGCAACTCACTGGGCACACTCCTGGGAAGAGGAGCTGCAGAGCTCCTAAGGCAGCCCTGGGGGAGGAATGCAGTCAAACCACACTGCCTGTGTTGTCCTCAGTGCCAACCCTACCCTTCATGGGTGTAGAAGGGGTACATCAAAGGAGTCCCACACTCGTCCCACCCACCCCTTCCCACAGTTACTTACAGACAGGATGATTACCACCTGCATCTATCCTGGGTGGCATCTGTCTCCAGGCAAGCATGCCCTGGTCGCAGGAGTCTGTGAGCAGAGCGACGGGGCTCTGCTACAGGGCTGCCATGAAGGACCCAAATAACCCCCCAGCGCTGTGGGCGAGAGCATCCGGGCTCTCATCCTCATAACCTCACTGCCCGTCCCGTGCAGGAATGCTCCGAGGCCTCTGCTCATAAGGCATCCAGGAGCACAGCCATCTCCCCAAGCAGTTTTTTCCTTCTACTCAGGAACCTGAGTTATCATTTAAATAAAACTTATATGAAGTAAGACTAGCAGGAGGGTGCAACTTTCCTGATGGATACAAAAAGTTAGACTGAAGAATGTAAAGCTAGGTTTCTGCCTATCTGAGAAGTCCTTGAAAAGACAGCTGAGGAGGTCTTGAGGAGGTCTTAAGAAGGTATGACACCACCTGATAAGCTCAGCCACTTCTACTGATCATCAAAAAGGGGAAAAATTGTGTTACACATAAACAGTGGGTGTTTACATCAAGGGCTTGAACAAACCATCAGGGGTTGGGATATCCACGCCAAAAGAACAGCTAGCCACTGAAGGTCACGGCCAGCAGCACTTCGCTTCCTAAGTTAGTAATCTCTTAGCAATGTCCTTATTGTTAGGCCAATGGTTAAAAAACAGGCCATGGGATCCAGTGGCAACACTGACATAAAACTTTCCAGTGTAAGCCGCTGGTTCTGCACACACTGCCCAGAGGTTGTGTCCCACTGTCAATGAGAGAGTGTGACTTGGCCACTGCACCACAGCCCTAACTATGGTGTATGAGCTGTGCTCAATGCCTGCAAAGTACCCACCAGCTATTGAGGGGACAGTCCTCCCTCCCCAAGGAGCTGCCTTTGGTAACTTTCTAGGCACAAATATGCTTCTTGGTGAATAATTGTCAAAAATACGCAGGGTACGTACAGGCCATGTGGATCATCTACTTGTGGTGTCACAGGGAGCAAAAAAAAAAAAAGGCATGATTTGTACAATGTGAAAAGCGGGACCACCAGACGAGGAGACCTCAGAAGAATTCTGACTTCTGTTATTTTTAAGGATAAGCAGAAATTCACTCATTTCTTATTTTTCCAATAGCCATACTGGTAACATGCCTACCTCTTCTCTCCTGAAACAAGGCCTGGGAAGCCCAGAGAAAATGGTGAGTGAAGAAGAGGCTTCTACCGCTTACATCCTGCTCTACAGGTATAAACAATCGCTAACAACGTTTCATACATAACAACGTTCAATCCCTAACAACGTTTCCGGAGATGCAAGAAGCTAGAGACTCCATCAGATCGAGAAAGGATGTCCGTGTCCCCACTCAGGGGTAACTCCTGCCCCTGCTCAAGCGTTCTTCCCTTATCCGCAGTTGTCTTTTCCCTTCGAAAAGCAAGATGCTGGCAGCCATGGCTGAGTTCAGGCTGTCCACACCGGGTGCCACGGGGATCAGCAGTCTCCTGCCCCCAGTGCTCTCGGCCAACTGTAGGGACTCCAGGCTCACCCCGTGGGTCTCCCCACCTATTACCACAGCCGCAGGTGCCTCTGTCCACTCCAAGTCGTAGCTTTGGACCTCAACGTCAGGAAGCCAGTCTTTCTTGGCTCCAGTTTCTAGATCCTCCTCCTCCTCTTCATACTTATGAAACTTCAGGAATCGTCGGTCACATACCCAGCCATGGTCACTGGCTTTATTGGACATCTGGACCTGGCTGTAAAGGCCACAGTTGTCAGCCACGTAGACCCGGGTGTCAGCGGGCAGGTAGCTGGGTACTGCTTCCCATTCCACATTGCTTACAACAGGCACCTGGAAATGCGCACCCATACCCGCCCGCAGCACTTTGGGCTCCCAGACATCCACACAGCCTAGAAAATGAAAACACAGGATCAAATCAAGATCAGGAAAACTGTCACAGACTGGGGAGCTCTGGAGTGAGTCAGAATAATTCTGGATATAGGAAATGAAGCACAAAGTTACTCTGTTATAGCCTTGAGCAGAGACCTTCTGCACCAATGATGGCAGCATCCAGCAAAGGGACTGTATGATGAATTTCTGCCAGTGTTGCACACAGATTAGATTCATACCTCCAACATTCATTACACACATGTGCCAGATATTGTATGCAAAGAGAAATAGAGTCCCAAATTTCAAGAAGCTTATGGTACAGTGTGCAGTGAGGGTGGGAATGATATTTAAACAGGTGACTACAATATCAGTAATAACTGATGTAAAAGAAGCATGCACAGGGTAATAGAATATCCTCGTACAAAGCAGGAAAGTTATCTAGGAGAACATGGCCATGCTGGATCTTGAAGGATAATAAAAGCTTGCCAGAGAAAGGTCCAGGCAGAGGACAAAGTTAAGACCGAGTCCAAACTACATCAAATAATGAGTGAGAGTGTGAGAAAGATCAGATGGGAGGCAAGCAGGAGCTCTGGTAGCACAGTGCCTAAGGCACTTGACTGCTCACCAGAAGGCTGGCGGTTCAAACCCAGCAGGCACTCCTCAGAAGGAAGGTTGGGCAATCTACTTCCGTAGTGATACTGCCTCGGCAACAGAAGGAGGGGGTGCTATGAGTTGGGTCCAACTTGACGGCACATAACAACGACAGGGATGCTAGGCCAAGGAGTTTCGGACTTTTTTCCAAAGACAATATAATTCCATTGAAGGCTTTTAAGTAAAGGAGTGACAGAATTTGATTTCTGTTTTAGATGACTCATCTGGCTTCAATGGGGAATCTGAAATGGACCAAGGGAGCCAACAGAGATGGGGAAATTAGTTAGCAGGCAATTGCAATAATCCAGGGAGAAATGATGAGAACAAGTACCAAGACAAGACTCTTGTCATTCACATACATACACTCTCCCACACACAGTCTAAGGCTAGGAGGAAATGGTCCACAGAAGAGCCTATTCTTTTACAGTATAGTCAGGCACTAGACCCACCCACTTCTAAACTTTAGCAGAATGGCAGACACCTGGCGGTGTCCCAGGACACACCAGGTGCAGGCGGGGAGAGATGGCACCACCAGCATCTCATCCTGACTGTACCACATACCCACCATCCTCCCTTAACTCCTCACTACAAGTTATCTAAAAAATTAGTTTGCCAAACTTAAGGCTAGATCAACTTAGGCAAACCAGATTTAAAAAGGAGGAAAAGATAAGGGTGGAGTGGTAACACTGCCTACACATACCCCAACCATGGTTTCTTCCAGTCACTGTAGGGAACCAGAGACAGGAGTAGGGCTGTGTGCCAAAAGGTGGGGCAACAAGACCAGAAGGGTGGCCTAGACCTCTGAGGGGAACCATCCAGCCTGATCTCGCTGCTGGTGGGGAAGGGACAAGATGAGGTCTACCCCTTCGCGTCCTTGATACTAGGCACCACCCTAAGTGTTGCTTACCCTTTCTTCCCTACAGTAGTCACCAGTATCGATATGAAAACCACTGTCTGAATTATATAGATACTTCCAAAACCACACCTGCTCTCAGAGTACTCAACAATGGGGGAGGGCATTTAAGTAGGTACTGATGATAGAACCCTAGCACCCAGTTATCATGCCGACAGAGAAACGTATGCCAACAAGGTGTGACTACGGAAGTGTTGAAAGGAGCAATTTAGGCAAGTCTAAGCAATAGGTGCCACTCTATGTTTACATTTAATGGTAACTTGGGTGTTTCTGATGAGTAATACTTTTCCTCCTACTCTCCCCACAAGTTGTAATAGGTATTGCAGGCATGTCCCAACTGTTAGGCAAGTCTGTTTAGAATCAAACCTATTAATCCCCCTTTATGATGACAGGCAACAGAAATGTAATGAGGCTAACTGGAGTATGGGTGTGAAACCCATCCTGAGGCTAAGGGAAATGGATCATAATTTCATAATCATACCCTGTTGGCACCATCCTTTTCAGAGGGTTCACAGAACGTCAAGAGTTAGGAAGGTCTCACGTACTCAACAATTTGGGAACTCAAGATCATTAAATGGAAGACCTGAAACCAAGTGTTAAAACTGGCGGCACCTACCATTTTCTCTTGATTCATTTAAAATTCTTTAATAATCTAGCAAGTCCCAAAATATAATATATATATTTTTTTAAATCACTGTTTACTGAATTATTATGTGCCAGGCACAGTGCTAAGTGCTTTATGTGTATCATATCACTCAATCTTCCAAACAACCCTGTAAGGTCAACTGCATTATCATTCCCACTTTACAGATGAGGAAACTGATGCTCAGAATATTGCTCATGGTCATATGGTGAGTAAGGGGCAGATCTAAGATTCGCCCCAGATGTGCCTGCCCACCGTCCCGGCTCATTTAGAAATGTCCAAACCACCTAGCAACAGGTGCTCTTACCTTTGGTAAGTAATACCTTGCTGCAGCCTGCCCCAGCAGCGGATCTCAGAATCGTCCCTAGGTTCCCAGGGTCACGGAGATTGTCACAAATCAACAACAAGGGCAGTGAATGGCGAAGGTGAGTTTCCGGATATGTCATCTTAACATGGTCAGGTTTGGCAAAAATCCCTGAGAAAATAAAAATAGAGCCTGGTGGAACCACTGAGACTATGGCCCCTAGCTGCCCTTCAGGTCTGGAATTGAACCCACACCTGTGGTTTCTAGCCAAACAAAGTACAGGCATGTGAGTTAAACATTTACCTCAAGTAGACACATGCCTTGGAGAGAGCAATCATGGGAGAAAGAAGGGCTGCTTATGCACAGGGAGACAGCTCAGGTGGCAGGAGAGTATGGAGGGATGGACACTGGGAAGAGGTAACTATGGGGAGGAAGTGGGGGGGAGCTGTTGCACTGTGGTAAACTGTGGTCAATGACATGCAACAAAGTATATGTGAACTGCTGTATGGAAAGTGAATTTGCTCTGTAAATCTTCACCCAAATTAAAAAAAAAAAAGTGAAAAAAAAAAAAATCCCTGAGAAAATAAAACAGGAGGGTCACCTGTCTGATGTGGGCATGGGAAATAATTTGACTTTTCATTTTATATTCTTTATGTATTCTGATGAGGTTGTGAGGAAATGGAAGGCTAAATCTTTTGGTAAACGTTTGCTTAATTTAATTTGACATAAAAGATTGAAAAAGTGACCTGAAAAACTTAAGGATTACTTCATCAAAGAAGACATTCAGGTGGCCAACAAATATATGAAGAGATGCTCACAATCATTAGCCACTAGAAAGATGCAAATCAAAACAAGGCATTATCATCTCACTCTGGCAACAATACCAGTGATCAAAAACACAGAAAACAACAAATGCTGGTGAGGGTGTGGGGAGACTGGAACTCTCATACAGTGCTAATGGCACTGTAAAATGATAGAACCACTGTGGAAATCAGTATGGCACTTCCTTACAAAGTTAGAAATAGAGATACTATAGGATCCAGCAATCCCACTACCAGGGATATATCCAGAGAAGTAAGAGCTGTGACATGAATAGATATACATACACCCACGTTCATCACAACATTATTCATAATAGCATAAAGATGAAAACAACCTAAGTGCCCATCAACAGATGAATGGATAAACTATAGTACATATACATAAAGGAATACTATGCAACATTAAGGAATAATGATGAATCCATGAAACATCTAACAACATGAATGAACCTAGAGGACATTATGCTCAGCAAAATAAGAAGACAGATATTGCATGAGACCACTACTATAAAAAGTCAATGAAAGGTTTATATACACAAGAAACATTCTTTGACAGTTACTAGGGATGGGAGGGGGAGGGAGGAAAAGTCAGGACCAGACAGTAGACATGCGTTAACTTGGGTGAACGGAAAGGCAATACACAACAAGGTGAAGGTCAGCAAAACATGACCAAAGCAAAGGAAGACATAGGGAAGTACATAAACATAAAAGGCAGAATAGTAAATACTATTACATACACAATCCTGTAATAATAATAAGTTAGTAATGACAACTAATAATTTATAAGTGGATACATAGGTACATATGTAAGCTAAACAGGTGCGGGATGGGAATATACTCACAAGCATGTATAAGTTTGGCAGAGGCTATTTCTACATACATATTTGTACATGCTGCAAATATATCCAAATATAAGGACATTATGCTGAGTGAAATAAGTCAATCACAGAAGGACAAATATAGTATTAGTCCGTTATTGTAAAAAGTCAAGGAAAGGTTTATACATGGAAGGAAATTTTCTTTGCTGGTTACCAGGCATGGGAGGGGAGGGGAGGGAACACTGCTAGATAGGTAGACACAAGTATTGATTTGGGTGAAGAGAAGGGCAATGTACCAAATGTGAGTGATCAACAATGTGGCACTGAGGAAGAGGAAGACATAGAGAGGTACTTGAGAGGTACAGACAACAAAGACGAACCGTTTTGCACATACAGTACTGTGTTGTCAGTGATGCCAAACATTGATCTATGGGTGTATAGATGGGTGGACAAGCTGAATTACTAGGTATGTCTATGCAGAGGGAAGTGTGCCCATAACCATGTATAGGGTTGGCAGACAATGTTTCTAAAACTGTATTTGTATGTTCTGTAAGAATTCCCAGGTATATAGTAGAGCTGACAAGGGACAAGGTTGTAGTCATTTCTTGGCCACAGACAGCTACCTAGAGGGAATGAGTAGTTGGACCTGTGGGCTCAAGACCATAGTCACAGGGGACACCAAACTCAATTGGCATAACATACTATACAAAAACATTGTCCCACATCCTACTTTGGTGAATAGTGATTTGAGATCTTAAAAGCTTGCAACCAGCCATCTAGATGCAATGATGGTTCTCTCCTCTTCCAGAGCAAAGAAAAATGAAGAAAACCAAAGACACATGGAAACAATTAGTCCAAGCAACTGGTACACCATGTGATCCTCAACCTATATGACTGTGAGACCAGAAGAACTAGATGGTGCCCAGCTACCACTGTCATCCACTCAGTGGGGGATGAGTTCAGGAGACCCTGGATAGAATGGGAAATCAATATAGAACAAAACTCAAAATCATTAAAAAAAAATAAGGACCAGGTTTGCTGGTCTGATAGAGCCTAGTGGAACCCCTGAGACTATGGCCTCTAGCTGCCTTTCAGATCTGGAATTGAACCCACTCCTGTGGCTTCCAGCCAAACAAAGGACAGGCATAAGAGCTTAACATTTACATTAGGTAGATACACTCCTTGGAGAGATCAATCATGGGAGAACAGAAGGGCTGTGTACGCACAGGGAGACAGCTCGGAGGCAGGAGTGCATGGAAGGGAAGGACACGGGGAAGAGGTAACTATGGGGAGGAAGCGGGAAGGGAACTGTTGCAGTCAATGTCAGGAGACAAAGTGTATGTGAACTGCTGTATGGAAAATTCATTTGCTCTGTAAACTTTCACCCAAAGCACAATAAAAATTAAAAAAAAAAAAATAATCCAAGTATATAATGGGCAAGGTTATGGAAACTTCTCAGCCATAACCAAACACCTTGAGGGACTGAGTCCCTGGACTTGAGGGCTCAGGACAGTAGTCTCAGGGGACATCTAGGTTAACTGGCATAACACAGGCCATAAAGACAATGTTCTACAAACTACTTGGGTAAGTAGTGACTGGAGTTTTAAAAGTTTGTGACTAGTCATCTAAAATACAACTATTGGGGAGGCGGGGCAAGATGGCGGACTAGGCAGAAGGATTGCACAGACCCTCTTCAACAAAGAAAAGGGAAACCAATTAACACAGACACAGAAGATAATCTT